GTGTCTGGCTGGTTCTGCCAACGGGGGTGGCTTTTGAGTGACCAGAAACCACCCAACTACCTCCCAACCACCACCCCAACCACCCAACTCGCTCAGCTGCTCGGCACGTGTTCAAATTACCGTGAAGACGCTTAGGGGTGAATACTCCAGTGCAGCTACAACAGCAGCAACAACAGCCGGCAGGCAAACGACATTCAAATTGAGTGAGTGAATTAAAAAACCTGGCAATCAGCAGAGGTCCTGTCGAGAGAGCGAAAGAGTCTGAGAGAGCCTCAGCGAAGTGCGTTTGTAGCAAAATATGAGCATACGCTCGAGCGCTCACTTCCTTCCGTTCTTTGTTGCTTGTGCCGATGTTTTTGGGGTTTGTTCCCTTCGCTTCGTTTCGCCTCGAGTTTCCTTTCCGTTTCAGTGTGTGTGTGAGAGAGAGTGTGTGTGAGAGGTCACGGGGATCGTGGCTGCCAGACATTTACGGTTATAACTTTCAGCTGAGCACAGTGGTTCGGGTCTTATTTAATTGGATTGCAGAAGAAAGAGGAAGAATATTAATAAAATTAAGCTGTGTTGCTTAAAATGTAACTATTAATTTGGAAGTAGAACGGGGATCCTTGCTGGTATGCAGATCGCTCTTTGATCGCTCACTGATTAAATTCATACGCAAAACATCTCTGATTAATTGACGTGATTTACATTTAATTGTAGTAAACAGATCATTTCCGCAGGAGTTATTAATCAAAGATTAGTTAAAATAAAATAAAGCTGAATCTAATATTTACCCACCTCTTGCGATGGCTGGCACCACAGTTCGAAAACGTTTTCCTAACTTTAAGCCCACTCTCTGGAGCACTTTTGCCCCCTTTGCACACCTCGCTACATAATTTCAACAATATGCGAGTGTTGAACGTGCACCACCCCCTCCCCATTTGCACCACCACAATCTAGGAAAACGAAATCAGACATAAAAACATTACATTGCAAACCCTTATTTCGCTCGCACACTAAGAAGAGGAGGAAGAGCGGCGATTCGAAGGCGAAACAGCCGAAACCAAAACTGAAACTGAAACTGAAGCGGAGAAATCGCAGGATACAAGACGCGGGGTGCGTTCTCTGGCATCGACAAGGGATGCAAAAGCGAGTGCCAGATATTAACCCTCCGGTGAATGTGTGTGTGCGAGTGTGCGAGTGTGCGGCAGAGGTGTGTGTGTCAGTGGCGCAGTATTGGTGAGCCTTTGTGCGCTGTGTTTGGTTTTTCGCCGTGCTTGTCAATCCCGTCGTGCCAAAACAAACGCAACGAACATTTTCGCCGATTAGAGGCAAGAACCATCCGTGAGTGCAACGCGAGCGGACGGATCCGCCGATTCCTCGTGTGTTTCGAATAATCCCGCTGCTGATAAGTCGCCGCGATTGCAACAATTAGCTAAAATTATGCATTAACTGGAATCGGAGTCGAGTAGTTATCGCGAATTCGCGGAATCTGTGCCACTCGAGTTTTCCTCAATCTCTTGCGCCGGTCGTCTTTGTTATTGTTTGCCGACGCTTCTTCCTCTTTTGTTTTGGGGGGAATAGGAATAGTTCTTTGTGTTTGTACTCGTGTACAGTGTGTGAGTGCGTATCTGTGTCTGTGAGTCAGCGCAAATGGCAATGCGCATCTTTGTTTGCCCACAAAAGCCAGGGCTCTCATCGCGCAGAAAAGCCAGTGAAAGCGGCGCCAAAATCTTAGTCTAGTGCTTTTCTTCTGCCTTTCCGGCCGAAACAATGAGCGACTCGCCCGATAATTTGCATGCCGATTGCGATGGTCGAGTCAGCAACAACAATGGCAGCAGCAACGCCAACGATGCTCCCAATAACGACGGCGACTCCGACGAGGAGGTCATCGAGGGCATGGCGCTGCTGGAGGGCAACTACCAAGTGCTGCGCCAGTGGGTGCCGCCCGCCCCCAACTATTGGGATGCGCCCCCCAAGGCCATCATCAAGTCCGCCGAAGTCAGGTAAACAAGCGAATGAGTCCAATATGCGATATGCTGCGTGCTGCATGCTGCAGACCACATGCAACATTGCGGCAGCAACATCACGACACCAGCAACATGCTTATGCAATTAAGAGTGCAATTGCCAACGCTACATTTGGCGATTGCCTTCAATAAGTTTTAATTAAGTGCTTCGGGTTTGATTTGACAGCGCATTCCATTTGCTGCTCACAAATTGCACAGCAATTAACTCGAATCAGCTCTTTTCGAGTCTGAGTTCGAGTTTGAGTCTGCACTGGGAAAAAAACTGCGATGGACTTGGCTCCTTGAATCCTTTAGAATGTTTTTGATGTTTAATGAAAAATAGACTTCGTTAAATATTGTCTTTAGGGATGCAAAATAAATTGCATTATTTCGGTTTCCTTCAGAAGATCTACAATATCGATTGAATTCCGGGACTCTAAAAAACTAATGTTTATATTATATATTTATATATATTGCACACTTACAATGTCGAGATTTATCGCGAATCCCGAGAAATATTACAAGTAGGATTTCTATTCGGAACTCAATGGACTTTTTTGCAGTGGCATCAATACTCAGACTTGCACGAGCGGACTTCTCCAGCGGTCCACTTGTCGCCACACCACTATTCAATAAAAGTGCAGTTATTTGTAACGCACTTTTATGGCCACACATGCGATGCGAACCCTCACTATTGGAACCATTTCGACCGGGCGGAGCGGGGCGGAGCGGGGCGGTTCGACCCACCGAACAAGTCCCGTGCCCGGCCTATGGAAATCTCAATGGATTTGGCCTCGGCGCTTGACAAATAATTTTCGCGTCTTAACCACTGCAATTCATTCAATAAAAATTTGATTTTTATGGGCGTCGTCAAATACGGCGAGCAGCATTTGCATGTCGAGCAGAAACTAACCGAATGCATATAAATTTGTTTTAGTACCTTGAGTACCCTGGTTATATATGTGGCTGCGGGAGTATTAGCTTACGGAATGAATGGAACTCAAATGTATTTTTAGCTAATTGTTTATTTTTCGGTATGGTTGCTTCTTAACAAAGTTTTTTAGAGGTTGAAAATAACATTTTATGGCTTAAAACCGAAATTATAGCTACAATATGTGGCTTTTTTTATCAACTTTTCGTGTAAGCCCAAATCCGCATTACATTTTACAGTAATCTGTAAGCACCACGATAAGTTGCCTCGAGATTTTTCTAAACTCTACTTTTTTATGTCATTGTATATTACGTATTATCTTTAATTGAGCTCAATTGTTTGAGCTCAAAGAATGAAACTGCAAAATATATATAATAGAGAGAGCCCACCGGATTTCAATGCTGGATAGTGGAAAATTTCTATTCGAATACAATTTGCTTTTAAAAAGTTTAGGCTAAACTAGGTGATGTTATCGTTAGCCAATTTATGGCACCCACCTTGTCGATTTGAAAATAACATTTTCTAAACTACTATTAATAATTTTTAACAGAAACTGTCAGTGATACAAGCCATTATTTCTTTCGTTAGACCACAAATATTCGATTTATTAAATAAATCGGAATCCAGCGGATTCCGTGAGCTTGCTTACACGAAACTTTTTGTCCGGACTTATTTGTCTGACAATCCGTCTGCACCTCGATCTCTGTCCGTCTGTCTGTCCGTCCGTTCGACTGTCCGTCCGTATGGACGTCTGTGCGCCTGTCCGTCCAACTTCACTCAACGAGCGCCACAGTTGGCGTCTGGGTCTCGAGTTGCTGCTGTTGTCTCACTGTCAACACCAAGAGGTATGCAACATGCGGCAGCGCGGAAGGAGGAGCAGTGGGATCGTGGGGGCAAGAGTGCCCCCACTCCGTCGCAGTCGTTGACAACTGCAGCATGAGTCTGCGGAATTGAGTTGCTGTTGCAGCTCGCTGTTTACTGTTGGCTGCCTGTTGCTGGCTGGTAAATAATAAATGCGTTGCTCGGGAGAATGCGAGATGGGAAATCAAAATGCAAACGCTGCCAGATTTTTTGCTGGATCCACTTGAGGCGGCAACAACAATGTCCCCCATTTCGGCATGGCTTCGTTTTGTTTTTCTCCGCCGGGCCGTTAAGTGCAAATGCAGCAGTAGAAGCAGCAGCAGCAGCAGCACGGCATTGTTGCAAGTACGAGTATCTTTTGCACGTTCTCAATATGCATTTCTGAATTACAATATGTTGATTGCATTTCGCCGGCACGTAGACGGAACACATGCACTCCACGGCTTCCAGCCGCCATAATAATGATGAGTATTGAAATTGCCAACAATGCAGAACATTTCCGCAGCTCCAGCCCCCAGCCCCCAAGCCACTGCCTCTGCCACTATCAGTTCCCACTCGGCTTCCTTTTCTGCGGTCTGGTGGCCTTTGTTCTGGCCAGGATCCCTCCCTTATCGGTTCGGGCCAAATTACTTTATACTCCTGTACGGTTCGTTGCCAGGGTAATTGATATAGCTTTGTTTCGCTCGGCTGTTTCGCCCTTTTGTTGAGCGGAAAGTTTGTTTCTGGGCTGGAAAGCCGCCAGCCGAGAAACCTCATTTCGCTGCTTCTGCCCGAAGGCGGGGTAAATCGGGGTAAATCCCTGAGTACAACAAACCAAACCCTCCCGACCGTCTGCCAAACCGCAGATGACATAATTAATGAGCCTTTGAACCGTCCATAAACGCGGAATAGTTCATATTCTCTTGTTGTTAACGTTGCACATGACCTGTGTATAAATCAATTTAATATTTCTCCTCTTCTCGTTACAGGTAAGTTGATATACGACAGCCAGGCGACTCCTTTCTCTTTGTTGGCCGTGCCAGTCACAATGGCAACATCAACGACAACTTACAGAAACATTTTGAATTGTGTGAAGGCGGCACGTCAGTGTCATTGGGACTTCAGGTAAAAGGTGGAGGAAATTCAAATTCGAACTCCAGAAAGCCGGGCCAACTGCTTGGGCGAAAATTACGACGACTTGTCACACGAGGCAGGTTTTTCTATTAGCTTTTGGGAATTTTTGGCGGGGATTGTTAGCAAATTAACACAGCGGCAGGCTCATAAATTGCAATTTACTTGGAAATAACTACAACTTAAACTTAGGGTGTTTCAAATAAGGATGAACTGAGCGTGTTCTGCCAAAAAAGGTTTTCCCTACATATATGTCACCTCTACACAGCGCACCGAATCTAAAATATAGCCGAAAATGAGGCGCACGCAGCACTCCGTCATACACTCCGTGGGCAAAAAGGTTTCGAACATGTCGACCTCCAACAAACAGAACTTCATGGACATGGATCAAGAGGAACAGCAGCCTGAGCAAATGTATCTGGCCACCCAGACCGTGGATGACATTCTGAATGAGGTCCTCTGCATGCAGAACTTCCAGCAAAAGCAGACAGACAGCAACCTAGACCAGTTCTGCCAGTCGGAGAGGTCCAGGGACCTGAAGGTGGAGGAGGACTTGGACATGGACCCGCGACTGCGCAGCTGGAACCGCGTGCTGGAGGAGCGGAGGCGCCTGCAGAATCGGATCGCGCTGCAGACGGGTAAGCGGGCCGAGGACGTGCTCTTTAACCGCTCGGCAACCATCGACGAGGCCAACAAGCGGATGATCCTGCGCGTCCTTGACACCGCCGACCGGTCGCAACCTCATGCTCGCCTCAAGGACAATGTTACCTTGAACTCACTGAAGCCGCGATGTGATCCCCAGCTCTGCCGGGAGATTAAGGAGCTGTACGCCGTGAAGCCGCAGTTGCAGGAGGTGGAGTTCGTCGGCCTGCCGCCGGTCACCCAAAAGGAGCTGGCTGCCACCCGCCTGCCACCCAACGAGATCGAGAGCCAGTGGCAGCGCTCCCGTGTCTTGAACGAACGACTCGAGGAAAAGAAGCACTCTATTCGCCAGGTGCTTGACTTCGCGCCCGATCTTAAGGGGCTGCAGATCACGCCGGCATTGGCGGGCTCGTCCACTAAGACTCTGCCGATCGTCAAGGTGGACGAAACTTCGTTGTCTGCTATCTCCGGGAACTCCACTCCGGAAGAGGAGGAGGATTTGGAGCTCGATCTGCTGTCCATAGACGGGGAGGAGAGCGGTAGCGATCTCGAGCCGGCACTCGAGGAAATTGGGATAGGAAAGGGGATAGTCGAGAGTCAGGACATGGATGACACCCAGGACATACAGGGTCTGATGATTAACGGCGTGCTCATTGATTACCGCAATCCTGTCGGCGCCATAAGCAAGAGCATCACTGTGTTCCTTCAATGTGAACCATATGAGCGCGTGGTGAAGATGCTTTTGGACATTCAGGTAAACTGGGGTCAAGCTGAGGACTGTTCTAGCTTCTTTAGTTGGTCATCTTGCACCCTTGCTATAGGGACTTAGTAAATAATGGTACAAGGCTATACTCGCTAACATAATGACTTCCTGCAGAATCTGAGTCCCAAGCTGGTCCATGTCTATTGGCTGAGCAAGAACCGCCTGCGCTCCGACCGGCTGCCCTTGAACTCCGAGCTGGTCTTCGACCGCAGCGAGTTCATCCTGGAACCGCAGGGCCGCCGCCTCATCCGGGTGATGTTCCAGCCGAAAAAGGTGGGCCTGTTCACGCAGCGATGGCACGTGAACTTTCAAAAGTCGCCCTTCTGTGGCACCCGGCGCCTGGACGTCGTTCTCCAGGGCCAGTGCACCATGCCCGCTCCGTTCCAGAGACGCCTCGAGGGTCACCGACAGGCGCCCCTGGACAAGCAGCAACAATTGCAGGCCCAGGGTCTTCTCCAAATGCAGGCCAGCCTGGCCCCCATCATCGAGAACCCGCGACCATTGTGTCCGTACCAAAGACCCCTTGACGAGCGCGAGGTCTTCAATGCCCAGAACTTCTCCTATCGCTGCCAGCGATACGAGGATCTGGAGGCGCTCAAGGACTTATATCAACTGGCCAAGAAGCCACGCGATAGGCCTTGGGATTTGAGCATCGAGACCCTGCGTAGTCTTATTGGCAAGCAGGAAAGTCGTCTCCTGCGCGAGCATTTCCACAACCAACTGGTTGTCTTGCTCCAGCCGCTGAAGTGCAACAGGTGCTCCGCCTATCCCTTTCTGGAGCACAACACGGAGCGGGATAGATCTTGCTTCATCTACGTGCGCGGCACCATCAGCAGCACCATCGACGAATGGGAGGCAATGGTTTTCGGCCTGGATGAACAGTTCTTCAAGCTGGAGCTCCTGCGCTATCTAGGCGAGAATTCTTCTCTGCCGGTCGCCGCCGAACTAACGCAGAAGAACCGCCAGCTGGGCACAGATGAAAACGAGGAGATACAGATCGTGGAGAACGTTTCGAAGCGAGTCAAGGGCAGCAAGTACCTCAAGGACTCCCTCTACATGCACACCTACAGCCTGCTCTGTGATGCTGTCGAGGTCATAGTCTCCGTAATCGAGAGCACCGCTGATTAGCACTCATACCACTGGGAACACCGGTATACCCTCCAAGTTTTGGTTGTATATATATTTTTTAAGTGGCAACACCCAAATAAAATTAAAAAAATATTTATAATAGATAAGGGACTCCAGTTTATTCGCTGTACTAGACCTCGAACAAACACTCCATCCATAGGTCGCCACCTTTTCACTTCGAGTCGGGGTCTTATATGTCAATATATATTTTATTCCTGTTCACGTTAACTCGAACCCCAAACTCGAAGCCGCCCACAAAATGGAGAACATAGAGGAGACAAGGCGGCAGACGGTAAAATCCCCTCTGGCCCTGGAGTGCCAAACTTTCAACCTAACGGATTCCACGCTGACCCCCAAAACCAACGAGTCCGAAAACCTTTCGAAGTTCACACTGGCCAACATGGTGTCGCTACCGTCCTCCTTGACCGAGCCGACCACCCGTTCGAATGCGCAGGCGCAGCTGAATGCCGCCTCGCCCATGGGCAAGTACACGGAGCGCATGGTGGAGGACATTCTGACCGAGATCTTCAAGGAGCGGCGGGGGGACTATCCGGAGACCTCCTCCTCCTGCCACGCGGCCGACATGCCGTTTTCGTTTGAGGAGCGGGAACCGCACGTAGATAAGCGCCTGCGCTACTGGAAGGAGGTGCTTCAGCAGCGCAAGAAGATGCAACAGCGCGTCCAGAGGGAAACGGGCAAGCTGGCCAGCGAGGTGCTCTTCAACCGCCGCTCCACGCTGGACAACCGGGACGGGCAGACGGTGAAGCGCGTGCTGGACTACGCGGACCGCATGAAGGGCGAGCGTCTGATGAGCGCGCCAATTTCCAAGCTGGGCGACCAGCTGGATCCCTGCACCTGCCACGTGATTCCAGGGCTGGAGGCCACGGCACCGCAAGCGGAAAAGGTGGGCTACAAGAAGGTAGAGGTCATTGGCGTGCCTGAGGTCTGCAAAAGGGAGCTTCTGGGCAAGGAGGCCTTGGAGCAAGTCCCTCCAGCTGGCTGGCTGCAGTCAGAGTTCCTGGACAAACGACTGGAGCAACGCTTTACAGACATCCAAAACGTAGTGGAGTTCTTTCCCGACGTGGATGCCCTGCAGGTGAGGGGCACTGCTATCAGCAAGCTCAAGCGAACACCAAAGCCGCTCCTGGTGGAGGCGGACTCCATGCACACGGTGACCAAAAGCGACAGCTCACTGATCTGCTCCGAGGAGTGCAACTGCGAGTCCTGTGGCGAAACGGAGGAGAAGTCTTCAGGAACCCCACCTCCCATTCCGGATGTGGGACTACGGGTGAATGGCGCGGATTACATTCCGTGTGAGATAGTTGGCGGCGGAATTAAGGACTGCTATGAAATCGTCGTCCGGTTCACATGCGATCCCTTCCGGCGTCGCCTCAAGCACGTGCTACAGCTGACCAACATTGGCAAACAGTCGCTCACCTTCTCCTGGAAACAGAGCACCTACTACTATAACCGGGCATCTCTGTTGCTGGCCCGGGACAACGAGTTCCACTTCGACCTGGAGGGCTTCAGGCTGTCGCACGGGGAGACCCGCAATGTGGCGGTGCTCTACCAGCCGCGAAAAGTGGCGATGGCAGTGGAGTTGTGGCTGCTGCAGGTGGAGCCGCGCATCTTTTGCGGCCGCCAGGAGTCCCTGCTGCTCCGCTTGTACGGACGTTGCACTCCGCCAGCGGACTACATGGCCAAGCTACTGGAGTGCCAATGCATGTGCATCTGCAAGTCGGATGCAGTGGCAATGGACAAGCTGACCACCCATTTGGGGGCCCTGGCTCCCATGGTGGTGCCTCCACCGACTTGCTGCCCCTATGAGCGCTCGCTGGACGATCGGGAGGCGTTCAACGCCCTAAACCCGGGCTATAGTTGTGCCCGCTTCGAGGACCTGGAGGTGCTTCGTGCATTCCATCAGCGCTTAAAGAAGCCGCGGGAGCGCCTCTGGGACCTACGCCTATCAACGATCAAGGACTACATAATGCGGATTAAGGGACTGGTGGAGCGAGAGGCGATCTTTTCCGAATTCAACCATCTTCTCGCTCCTTTGCTAGGCGGCGGCTCCTCATTGAATGCCTCTTCCAAGCAGGACGATCAAAAACAACGGACGCGGTTCATATATGTGCGCGGTGTGATCTGCAATGGGATCGCAGAGTGGGAGGACCTCATGTTCAACGTGGAGGACTCATTTTTCAAGCCAGAGCTACAGCGGTACTACCAAAGTTTGTTGGGAGAGTCCGAAGAGGGCGATGAGGAAAAATACGGCGAGGAACCAGAGCAGCCAAAGCCAATGACGCCCATTGACATGGAGAAACTGATGGAAATTTTGGGCGAGACGGAGTTGGACGAGAAGAAGATCCGCACGGCGGTGATCCGCAAGTTGTATCGGTCCAAATATTTCCGGGACGCGCTGTACATCCAGACCTACTCACATTTGTGCAGCATGTCAGAGGACATTGTGTCCGTCATAGAGAGTACGGAAGTAGTACCGACCTAGGAGGACTATAAGTGTCACGTCCTTTAAAATCATCTTTCACAAATCATTGGTTTTCACATTACATGGAGTATTTAAGAAAGGTCTTTTCACTATTAGATAAAAATCAAGGTACGTGTGAAAGTAGTATGCAGCGATTCAGACCTTAGTCTATTCTTGATTAGACCAGTTTCTGGTCTCCAGCTCTGGAACTGGGATTACGCATGTCGATTCCATTACGGTTTGTTCTAAAAAATGATCATTATAAACCTAGTTGCCATTTGTCTTGCAGCCAGTAAGGCCTTAGTTTTGTGATTTCTAGAGTTCTTATAGTTTCCAAGAGCTCGATAATCATGTGGCTTTGTATCCTCTGGATTATTGATTGCGATCGATAACTGATATGCTTCATGGGGACGATTCATTTCAAATTGTTCTTAAACTGTTCATGGTCTTGAACTTTAAGTCAAAACTTCCACGTAAATGTTTACAATTTACACCATAAAATCGAATAAAATTCAAAATGAGTTCGAGCCGGAGAAATGTGCTGATCGAGGCGGATTCATCAGAGGGTGCGATTCAGCCAGACGACTTAGCCAATGACCTCATTAAAGGGATTTTCAAAAATTATCCTGAGCGAGGCATCCACGATGAGCCATCCTTCAGTGTGTCTGCGGGTTCTTTGCCGAAGTGTAGGAGTAAAATTGATAGTCGTCTAGATTACTGGAAGAACATGCTGATGCAACGACGGGCCGTACAAGAGAGACTACGCAGCCAATTGGGCAGGAAACCAGAGCAGATGATCCTAAATCAGCAGGCAAAAACAGTAAAACGCTCGATAGCGGGCTGCTTGGAGACCGTAGGACTGCCCAGCTATTCAGCTGCTGAAATGTTGGGTCTTGAAGCGAGAAGGGTCCTAAGAGTGGAGGATGAGGATGTTATGCCAGAGCTAGCACCACAAATCCGTGGTTTGGAGGTGGTGGGCAGGAAGTGCAAGGAGTTCCAGAGGGTTCAGGCTCATGGCCCAAAAGTGACCGACCGGGCGGGCTGTTCAGAAGCATCATTAGGCACAAGAGCCGCAGTGGAGGTGGCCCAGTCTACGGGGACGATCCAACAGCCGGTTAGCGGACCGGGCGTTCGCATCAATGGAATCAATTTCTGGCCACACAACCCAGAGTTCTCGCCCACCATTGACCGCACCTTTGCTAGCCAACCCTTTCAACGACACCTGCGCCCCATCATACGCATCGAGAACATTGGCAACCAAAAGCTGAGCCTTCACTGGAAGAAGGTTAACTTCTTCTCGAACAACAACACTCTTATGGAGGCCGAAGCGGATGACTTCGTTTTTGATATGGCCCCATTTGTGCTTTTTCCGGGCGAGTTTCGAGATCTTACGGTTCTGTACCAGCCGCGCTGCGTGGCCATTGTGAAGCAGCGCTGGCTGCTGTTGACGAGTCCACGCATCTTCTTCTGTCGTCCTTCTGGGTTCACACTAAACCTGAACGGTCGCTGTACTCCGCCCAAGGAGTACTTGGACCGCCTGAAAATGGAGCAGCTGCAGGTGCTGTCCTATGAGGCGCGGGTGCATCTGCAGCAGCGGACCTTGACCCTCTGTCCATATGAACGAGACCTGGAGGAGCGCGAGGTCTTCAACCGTCGCAACAGAAGCTTCCAGTGCCTGACCCACGAGGACTTTGAGCGCCTCATGGCGTTCTACAAGCGGGTGAGGCCTCGAAACTCATATCTTGCCTGCTGGGACTACAGTGTGCACTCGCTAATCCACCTGGTATGTAACAGTCGCGACATTCGGCGGCGCATAGAACACCTGTCGGAACTGACCAACCTGCTAGACGGCCTGCGCAGAACATCTTCAATGCCACTGGGTACAGCGGACTCAGTCAGTAGGCTATGGGAACGCAATCACTCAAAGCTGATTTATGTGCGCGGCATAGTAGCTGGTGTGCTGGAGGAATGGGAACAGAAAGTGCATCTCCTTAGGTCGAGGGTCAGCAACGAAGATGCCAGTGGCAGTTTGCAGATTGCGCGTTCAAAGTTTTTCATGGATTCAATCTGCTCCCAGTTGTACGCACTGATTTGCAGAGCGGTCGAGGACATTGTGTCGGTGATCGAAAGCACAGCTCAGATTTAATTGTCGCCGAGCACAGCAGCCAAACATATAACACTGAAAACACAAAAAAAAATATAAATAAAAATGAATAAGGGAAACGAAACTGGGCTGGTGCCCGGATCCCGGCATCGCTCCTGGTTGCAGTCCTTCATCAGGGAGCAGCGCGATTCCCAGAAGAACGAGGTCGAAATAAAGTCCGAGTCCACGGCGCTCAAGTTCCGCAAGCACAATATGCTAAAAGAGGTTTCCGAGCGGGATGGCAAGGAGGTAGTGGAGGAGATTATCGGGGACATCTTCGACAAGAAGCGGGGTACGCTCACACCATCTGAATCGGAGTGCTCGCTGCAGGAGGATATGCAGGAGTCCCTGAGCATGGATCCTCGCCTGAAGCTGTGGTACCACACGCTCGAGACACGTGCGGCCGTGCAGGCGAAGATCCAGCGGAAGCTCGGCCGGCGTCCCGACGAAATGTTGATCAACGTCGGCAGCACAGTAGCTCCCAGGGATCGGGGGAACGTGGAGCGGCTGCTGGACCTTGCCGGTCGCATGAATCCCACTGCCTTGATCCAAAAGAAGCCTGCCGTTCTGCCCGCCTTGACCACCAGCCAATGCCAACTTCTGCCCGCAGTGCAGGAGACGCTGCCGCGTGCCGAGCAGTCCGGTCGGGCGGAGCTGGAGTTCATCGGCTTAACCCGTGCCACCAAGCAGGAGATCCTGGGCAGGGCGTACCAGCGCCCCGAGAATCCCACCGCGTGGCAGAAGTCGCGAGTGCTGGAGGAGCGGATCGAGAATGACAGCGGCGACATCAGGCGCGTCATCTCGTACTTCCCGAATCTGGACAGACTGGAGGTGGTGGGTGGTCCCGCGCAGCAGGAGTTCACCCCCGGCGAAATCAGTCGGGTCGAGCGGCTGTCCTGCGACTCTATTTTCACCGTGAGCAGCACGTCGCAGATGCTGGCTGACGAGGAGCAGAAAGATGAGAGCCCTCGCAGGGCAGATCCCGACCAGGGAATAGAACCGGCATCTGTGGAATCTGTGGTTTCCCGTGCAGCCGTTAGGATCAACGGCATGCTCTTCGTGAACTCAGGAAAGCGCATCCTTTTACCGGAGATCGCAAACGTTTTCTTCGAGTGCCATCCGTACCAGAACGTGGTCAAGGAGGTGGCTCGCGTGGAGAACGTCGGTGGTCAGATACTCACCTGCCAGTGGGGCACTGTTGACTGCAAGCGAGCCACCAAAGGCACCGCCCAGTACCAGAACTTCCTGATGTCGCAGGCCAGCTTCACCGTTTTCCCAGGAGAGCTGCACGTGTGCCGAGCGCTTTTCCGGCCACGTGGATGCTACCTGCTGAAGCAGCGCTATGAGCTCCGCATCTTTCCCAATGTAATCGGTTCCCTTCGCGGCATTTTCCTGGTCCGTCTGACGGGACGCTGTATTCCGGCTCCGGAGTACACAAACAAGCTTCGGCGGCACCAGCAACTGCTCACGGACAAGTCGAAGAAGAAAATGGCCAACGACCTAAACAAGTACCAGGCGTCCATAGTGCCCCTCCTGCATCCGCCCGAGGTGATGTGTCCTTATGAGCGGGTGTTGGATGAGAGGGAGGTGTTTAATGTAGAAAATCCCGGATACAAGTGCGAGCGGTTTGACGACCTCGAGACATTGAAGTCACTATACGAAGCCCTTAAGAAACCAAGGGAGCCTGCCTGGGATCTGCGACTGAAGACAGTTCGTCAGGTAATCCTGCGGCTCCCGGACTCCAATAAACGAAGGCTGCATTTCGAAAAACTGGTCAAAGTTCAAGAGGAGCTGAAGCTGTGCAGAGGCAGAGGTTCCCTTACGCATTTCAGTCGGAACAATGAAAGCATTCGGTCCAGGTTCATCTACGTGAAGGGGTGCATAGGCAATGGCATCCAGGAGTGGGAGGAGCTGATGGCGTCGATGGAACTGAGTGGTCTCCGCTTAGAGATAAGTCACTTTCAGCTAAGAGAGGAAGAGGGGGAGACGCCCTTAGACGAGGCCGATTATGAGGGCAAAGTACCGGAGGAAAAGCCGTGGATGCAGCAGCTGCGTAACGAAAACCCCTATCAGTATCTCCTGAAGAAACTGCGAGCCAGGAAATCATACAGGGACAGCCTCTACATGCAGACTTACTCGCACCTGTGTGACATGGCCGAAAACGTGGTTTCTGTTATCGAGAGCACCAAGTACGCTTAAAGTAGCTCTAGAAAACTGTTTTGTTACCGAGTTAACGTCCAAATTTAAGATGACCCAGAAGTAGAAAGAAGTGGCCAAAACTCTCGCCAAGAAATAAAGAAAGACTCCCCAGGGATGGTCTATTGATTTGGAAACCTATTAGCCCATCCGGGGTGGGAACTATTTCCCTGCCTGGGACACACCTGTGCCCCCGGCATGTGGCGCCAACTTTTCGCATAACGATGGCCCTTATGGGCCAACAAAATTGCCCATTTCATGGCAGGAATGTGGGCCCACACCCCGCAACCCCCATAATGCTTAATGGCGCGCAAATGTTGGTCGGAAAAGTTTGAGAGCTGGCTTCGATTTGAGCTAGTTTGCATTGATTTGATGACACTTTGGGGCCCATTCGATTCCACTAATAAACGAACCACGTCCAGCCCCTAAACTCTCGCCTTTCCTTCCCAGAGTTGGCGTGTCAAAAAGTTGTCTGCACCTCGGGCTGCTCTTTTAGCGCTGCCTTTCGGAGCGGCGTCTGGTGAAATGTGGCAACGAACGCGCCGTTATGCTTGCAATTAGCCAAATTGATTTTTTGATAGCAACTCAAATCCCATTCCTATGCTCAGCACATATTTATTTGGGCGCTATGGGACCCTGCGATTTCCATCTTCGTTTCAGGCAAACCTACATAGGTATACGCATTGCTGGGCAAGTCTTTGATGCCCGGCCCCTCGGGAGCTTCACACGCCGCCGATCCACAATTCAAAATGCCATAAATCATGCATCATTGAGGCATCCGAGGCTGTGCAGTAAAAAGCGGCACGCAGAAACGCAGTGTTTCCGTTCACACTCAGCTCATAATTAGCCTTGCGCTGAGATGGCACTAATGTGCGGCCTAATGATCTCGAGTCGGCCAGCCGCGATGGTGACCAACTAACATGGTCAGCTGCAAACATGGCATCAGCCTTGAACTCGTCAGTTGGCCAACTCGGTTGACACCGCACTTTTTGTCACTTAAAGCGCGGATTGCGAGATGGTTGGGAAATATTTCAGAGTCCAGGCCAACCAACAAGAGGTTGGGCTATGTATATTCCACCACCTCAATAATTGCTTTAAATGGAGCTTGGTATATTTTTGGAAACATCTAATTTATAAAAACCACTACTCAAAGGGAATTGGTCAAATCTTATTCCACGGTTACCGTATTGAAAACTATAGAAGTAAATGTGGGCATCGAAACTAATATGTTGGTCCCTAATTTTGGGGATCCTTCTATGTTGGTATTTTCCTTCTACATTTTGAATTCAGTTCAATACATATTTCATCGGCATTCCTGGCGCACTTCGTCACTAAGTGGTTTGCATGGACCACAGTGATATATTTAGTTTCATATTTTAGTTTAATTTTTTACTCGAAATAAATTCGTTATGATTTGTAATTGTAAATACCGTTAAATTACAAGGGTATTTATTTATTTTAGTTTTGAACAGAGCGTTCGATTTAGAACTATCACATTTTTACGCCTCTCATAGCGTATATCACCCAATTTTGCAGTCATGAACAAGTGGCATTCTATATAAAAACTTTATTAGAACACAAAGTCTTAGAAAATTGTTTACTTCTGAAATATCTAGAATGCTTGCACAAAAAAACTGAGTACTAGTATTTTTACACCAGACTTAAATGATATAGTTTTAGGAGGTCAGATTCTACACGCATATCTACATACCTATCTACAAGTAAATTATTCTTGAAATGTTAATAACGAAGCATACTTTTGGGAGGGAAGTATGAGCAATGGTGCTTCGAACAAGTTCGGTGTTGCAGCTGCGGGCTGAGTTGCAGCTGTCATATACATGAAACTTATTTTTATATAAGTTTAACAATTCGAACTACATAATCTGCAGCAAATTACTGGCAACTACTTTGCTTTAGTTAACTCACTTAATAGGGATCGTATTTTGGCAGTTCGTTGAAAGAACACTGGATCAATCCCACGAACACCCATCCAACACGATCCACAGCCGGGATCAAACCACACAGCAATCCACACCTGGACAGGTTCGTCAGTCTGGAAGCGTCGTCAGTTGCGAGCGGTTTACACCTGGCAACAGGTGCGGCTAGTCGTCGAGTAATCCGTCTGATCGATCGATCGCGCGGTCTTCGGCGATGTTGATTTCGGTCCACGTTATCTTGCGCCACATCTGTCATTTACCGTTTTTCTGCCAGATCGGTGCAAAGTGCACAAAAGCCCATATCAGAAAGCTGCCAACTGCATTTGCAAGAATTGCTAAATTTCACGTGAAGTGCGATCCATAATCCAGTGTATTTCTAGTGGTTCTTCTTCAGGAGTAGTTCTTTCTCGGGCCAAGTGAATTTATGCAACTATTCGCAAACGCTCAAATGCGCCTAAAGCACGAGATAAGCCAAACGGCCAAGTGAGGTGTGATTTAAGCCATGTTTTCGTCTGCGAATTGTCGCGCAGCGCGTTTCGTACAATACGGATACCAGCGGATACTCAAACTCCTGCCCCTGCACTCCTACAAGCACTTTCGTATTCAGATACAGATACAGATACAACTGACAATAAAATTACATTAAAAAGCAAATGAAATTCGAGACCGATTGATATGCGAGGCACAGACTTAGCACAATATTTTTATGGGATTATCGAAGGTCGAGAAGGTGTGTTGCTTGTGTGCTGGTACTCAGCAAACGAAAGACTTGAGCAACGAACTGTGGACGTACCCGGCTCATCGGTTTAATAGCTTTCATAAGCTTGTGCACATTACACGTCAACTGAAGTGCTCAGCTTGATTTATTTTGCGTTAGATGCGTTAAGTTTTAATCGCCATTCGCAGCGCACTTTCACCAACTTGCTGCAGCCTCGCGGAATGAAGTCATAACCAAATAGGCTTACGACCTGATCCAGCACATAAAACAAGACTTGTCTAGCCATAAAAACACTTGCCAAAGCCCGAAAATAATTTGATTACCGCGCACAGCTCTTGGCTTTCTCCGCCGATCCGCTTGATCCAATTAGTTTTCGGTGGGCCATAGGCCGATATAGCTGAGGACTCGGGCATCCATGGCAGCTGCCACCCACAGAAGTGTAATGAAACGGGCTTACAAGGCGGCAATGTGTCAACAATGGCTTGTTAGCAATTGCTTTTCAGCCAAGTGTGTGTGTGGGCTTGCAGCTGAGACTGAGACTGAGACTGAAAACACCTCATTGACAAGAGACATTTGAGTCGAACTGCACGTGTGTGTGGGCCGGGGTTGAAATTTATCTCCGATTTCTAATTGCCTGACATGCCAATTTGAATTTAAAGCGCACCGATAGTGGTGCTGCGGCGCATTCCTCCGCGGCGTATACATGTCCCAGCACGGTGGCCATAAAGCACCAACGGAACACTGCAATTCGCTCTGTTCTTTTATGGCCCGGCCAACTTAATCAATTTTCACACTGCGACTGGCTTCGATTCCGGGCTTTATTGAGAAATTCTTCATAATTATGTAGCGTCGGCCGGCGGCGGTCGAAATAAAACTGTTGTTTATGGCCGAGTTGCGGCAACTAGTTGGCTCAATTATGGCTCTGCTGCATCAACTTTCTCCCTCACTTTGGGCCAACTGCCACGGCTGCTTAACCCCAATCGACGCCTCTAACTGACTAACTAACTGGCGTGTTAATTTGTTGCTTAGTTTCCTCCGCACGCAGCCATCTAGCCACAATTGCCGGAGCATGAAGTCGAGATGCTCCGGCTATCGGAATCTGAGATACAAAGCAGCAACAGAATCCCGCCTCGGAATAGATTGGCCACTTTACAGTTATCGGCTTGGTTTTGTTAGCATAACAAAGGTCCGAGTGGGTCAACAACCTAGCCTTCGTTATGTCAATCTCTTCTGTGCCCACCGTTTGCATATTACACATGTCCCACGTCCATCTAAAGACGCAATTAACGAGCCATTTCCCATTTCCCAGCTATTCATCATGGGCGAGCGAATTTCGGTCCGCAAATTAATTAGGCCGCGTTATGAGCTTTTAAGGCGGGAAGTCGTAAATAAGTATTGGAGCCGTCGATGGACGTATGCAAACGCCAATTCGAACTGTCATCCTGTCAGTTCGCGTTAGTTTCCCAACCATCTTCCAGGCAGATAAGAACGGGTTCCCCGGAAAATGGAGCAACGTTAGCTGGCCCGCTCGTTTCCTCTCACTCAAAGCCATTTGATTGCATTTGACATTTAACACGAGTGCGCTGCAGATTAAACTGGCAACTGCCTACCGCCCACCAGTTTTTCATTTTGGGGGCGTGCCGGCTCGATTTTCATTTCACTTGGCTTGCCGCGACTGGAGCCTCGCAAAATCGAACGATTTTCGAGCTGCCAGCGATCGGGTTTTATGCGAGCGCAATAAAATTTGAGAAGGAATTCCATTTCTGCTCAGAGCAATCAATTTCGATGGGGACAAAGGCGTTTAGCACCCCGCTCCACCGATAAGCCAGGCGTGAGATTATTATCCGAGCCAATGAAATATGAGGCCCAGACAATGGCTCATTAGATCGCTTGGCTTTGGCCCAAACTAGTTTCGCTGGCGGGCCTAAACTGTGTAATTATTACGGCCTGGCCCAGCCGCAACTTTCAGAGGCTCAAACCATAGTTCGGCCATAAAATAGACAAACAAGTTAATCCATTAGCGAGTGAGACATCCCGCCTGACTGCCAAACAGAACCGGAAAGAATTCAACTCCCCAGGCCGCTATTAGGTGCATATCTCTTATTGTTTATATTGTCTCCCCGGCGGGATTCGTATGGTAATATCAGAAAATGTGCCAGCTGCATAGGCCCATCCGACTGCATAATAAATTATGAAATTTTACAGTTGCAGCCGCGCCGAATGAGTTGTCACGTCTGCGGCTTTCTAAACCACTTAGGAAGGCAGTGATAAGTCCATAGATATGTCAGATTCTGTGCTGCTGAATGGGGTTCTTGATAACTTGATAACACAATTTCAGCCCGTTCAAAAGAGACTTCTCGGTTAAATGCGGCTCAAGTGGGCGCAACACGAAACACAAAAGGTTGAGTGCTGCGGTGAACGGCTTAGCTTCGAGTTGGGAAAGTAAACCAAGACAAAGCAATT